GCTCAAACTCAGGGTTATGTAAAGAATAATAAGTGTCATATTTTGTTTTTAAAAAAATACTATCAAATGAAATATAAAAAAGTGTAAATATGGTGGAAGTACTGTACTGTTTGTATGAACAATAATAGAACAAACAAAAATACATCATTTGTAAGTATCCCAAAGACTCCACTAGATAAGTAGTAACTTAACTATATTTTATTATTTTTAATGTGGCAGGTAGATACCTCATACATATACCTCAACTTTGAAATAAAATGTAGTTGTACCTAATGACCTATAAGCGATTGAATAGTTATAGTTATAATGTTTATAATTGAATATTGAATAATTACGTAATAAAATCGTAGGTTCATGTTTTTTTTTTTTAATTATAAATTCAGATGACAAGAGTGGTAAAATGTTGTCGGACGAGAAGATCTTCTTTCAAAACTTTTTGATTATAAAAAAGCCAACAAAATAAAATCTGTGAGGATGACTTCGAAAAATCCTGTACTAAGTTTTCTAAAATAAGAACAGTAAAATATTATTTGGAAATGCTTTTCCAACACTCAAGTTGCCAACAAGTGACGGTGCTTGTTCGAATTCCAGCCAACGTGAGAATGTATCTGGAATGAATGTATGAATTACTTGCGCAAAAATATTCTATTTTAAGTATATAATAAAATCTGATAAACGTGTTATTTGACTTTATCCTTAAGTATCAACCCTACCAAAATAGGTAAACATTTTGACAGCTCCGTTAAAGCTTTGCCTCTTTGAGCATAGAAAATAGAGGAGATGGCAAGCCTACAAAAAAATCGTGTCAAATTGAAACAATAAATGGCGGACGCTGTAAGCTCCGCCCATTTTTTAGTGATGTGAAGTCAATCAACTTTTAAAATTTAGTAACACCTATATGTATTTTTATTTATTTTTAAATATGCAAAATTATATTTTCTCTAACGATTAGAGAGGCTAGGGGAATTTCGCGTGAATTTAACCGCCAGATGATTGCTGCTCCAGTTTTATCGTTTAAATAATCGTTTGAAGACGATTTTGATACTTAATGCACGGATAGCAACTCGTGCTTGTCACTTGTAAGTTAGCAAGCTAGTTGCTCTGACTTCATATTATACAGAATAAGCTTTACTTCTGGGCTAATAAGTTACTATCTAAAGCCAGGATGGTTAAACAGGATGGAGTTCTCTTTTTGAGCTAGTAGCACCCCCCACCATTTTTTTCTACTATTCTGGCTTGTGCACCAGTTTCGTGTGACCGGTTAAGCTAATATCTTTTGAAGTAAAAACTACTTTAGAATCGCTGTGATTTGAATATTATTATACTTTACGATGCACTTGTGGTTACAAATTATCATATCAAATAAATTATTTTTTCACCCCAGCTTAGCATGGATGATTTCTGGATTTTGGCAACAAAATCAAGAAAGACCAAGTGAAGTAGACACAAAATAATAAAAATCTGCGGATGCTAAACCGCCTGCCAAGCGTGGTAGATGTGGCAAAATGCCCTATGAGGCAATCTAGTGAGACCTAGGTACAGCAATGAACTTTTAGAATGGATGGATGGATGGAATAGAGTAAATTTAAATTTTTGTTAGCAATAGAAAGCAGTTTAATTACATAATATTTTTATAAAATACTTTTAATATATATATATATATATATATATATATATATATATATATATATATATATATATATATATATATATATATATAACTTTCTTCTCTGGAAACCTAAAAATGATAGAACAGAAAATAATGATTTAGATCTATGAAGCTGCAAATAATATTACAAATAAAACAACACCATGGTTGTTATAAAAGGTGACTTAAGGTAAATTATAGATAAAAATATGCTTAACATTTATGTATATTGCATTATTAGAAGGCACGGATGGCCTAATATAAAATATATAATAAAGTCAAGTAATAATGTCCATAGCCTCTGAGGTATTTGCATGTTTGCCTACACAGAGAGATTACTTACAGGCGCTAGATTGTACTTTATGTAATCTTTGTTACTTTGCTTCACTTTTATTATGTAGGTACCGTAGGTCCTACCTAACATGAATGTAACTCCGTTTCCTTATAATTTAGTTAATCATTTATGCTCACTGCTCAGACCCATGACACCGAAATAATGCAATGCATAACGCAAAACTTTTTCACATAATACGACAGAATAAATCAAGTAAAACCTTAATAAAGTATGTCCTTGAAAGAATTTATTGTTAGCAATGTAACATCACTAATTACGAACTACAAATTTTACAGATACGCAAAGAATGATAAGAAGTAATTAAATAATATGAATTAAAGGTTTAGGGTAAATAATTACATCCATCTACTTACTGTCGCAAAAGATATAAACGTTTTTACATTATATTTACAGCAAAAACTAAATCACTCACATATGAAATGATAGCTCGCGTGATTTTGGACTATATTTTGGGGCACAGCCTCTTACACTAATAATAATAGTAGTGATATATTTAGAGATTATGTAAAAACATATTCTAAAATATTTAAAAAAGTGTGCTCCACTGCTAAGGCTTTATATTTAAGCAACAAAATTAAAACTGCATCCGACAAAATTAAAATGACCTGGAAAATAATAAATAGTGAAACGGGCAAGGTCAAACCGCGCAACTCGGTTTTTCAATTAAATATTAACAATAATTTAACGCGATCTGATCAAGAAGTTGCTATGGCTTTTGAGAAACATTTTACTGATGTTCCTTTTTTGACAACAAAATCATTAAATTCTTCTCCTACTGTCGCCGAATCATTGCTCAAACAAAATGTAAAGGCTTGTTCAAATACTTTTAAATTCCATAGGGTACTGCCAAAAGATATCGTTAAATATTTTAAAACTATTGATGTTAAGAAAACGGCAGACTTATGGGGGATTTCCGTTAAAGTTATTTTATCTATAATAGATACATTAGCAACTTATCTAGCCACTATATTTAACATAAGCGTCGAATCTGGTGTGTTTCCTGATTTAATGAAACATAGTAAAGTCATATCTATATTTAAATCTGGTAGTACATTAGACCCCGCCAATTTTAGACCAATTTCTGTACTACCAACATTAAGTAAAATTTTTGAAAAATTATTTTAGAACAGATGTTAAGTTTCTTCAATATTAATAAATTGCTACATACAAATCAATTCGGTTTTACAAGGGGTCGCTCGACAACTGACGCTGGAGTTGAGCTTATTAAACATATTTTTTGTGCATGGGAGAATTCAGAGGATGCTTTGGGTATATTTTGTGACCTTTCCAAGGCCTTCGAATGTGTTCACCGTGAGATATTAATCAGGAAGCTACAGTACTATGGTGTCAAGAACACAGCGCTTAAACTTATTATTTCATATTTAAGTAATAGAAAACAGAAGGTGATTATCAATGGTAAAAGTTCTTCCGGGTCACCTGTACTAAAGGGTGTTCCTCAGGGCTCGATTCTCGGCCCATTCCTGTTTCTGGTGTATATTAATGACTTACCTCACCTTGTAGGGGATAGTCATGATATAGTATTATTTGCTGATGATACTTCCTTGATTTTTAAACTTAAACGTCAATCATTTAAATGTGACGAAGTGAATAATGCTATATCAAAATTAGTGCATTGGTTTAACGTTAATAATCTGCATTTGAACGGAAATAAAACTAATTGTGTTAAATTTACAACAATGAATGTTAAAAATCTGAATACCAATGTGTTTTTAAATGGGGAGGAATTGAACCCTGTTGTATCCACTGTTTTTCTTGGCATCACTCTTGACGCAAAGCTCCAGTGGGGCCCCCATATATCCAAATTAGCAAGCAGACTAAGTTCTGCAGCCTATGCTGTAAAAAAGATTAGAGGTCTCACTAGTGTCGAGACAGCTAGATTAGTTTATTTTAGTTATTTTCATAGCATAATGTCTTATGGGATTTTGCTATGGGGAAATGCGGCTGATTCAGAAACCATTTTTGTTTTACAGAAGAGGGCCATTAGAGCTATTTACAATCTAAATCCGAGAGAGTCTCTTAGAGATAAATTTAAAGAAATTAATATATTAACTTTGGCCTCTCAGTATATTTACGAAAATTTAATGTATGTTCACAAAAACAAAGATAGTTTTAGCAAAAGAAGTGATATACATTCTGTAAACACTAGGAACAAACACAAGCTAGTGATACCAGTTTCTCGACTCCACAGAGTCAGTAATTCATTCTTGGGGCAATGTATACGCTATGACAACAAGGTCCCGGAAAGTGTACAGGTTCTCTCTATTACCAAGTTTAAATGTTTTATTAAGCTGAAACTGTATAAAAAGGGTTATTATAGTATAAATGAATACATGGTTGATAATAACCCCTGGGAATGAGGTGATCGCTTCCAAGCAGTTTCTAAAATAAATTTTGTAAATAGTTCGTAATCATTTATATTGTAAAATTTATTTTAAAAAAAAAGTCCCGCTGGGTTTCTTGCTGGTTCTTCCCAGGACCGAGGGTTTTTTTGGAACCAGTGGTAAAGTAAAAAATGACTTTCAATAAGAATTACACATGTAATGTATATTGAATAAAAAATATTCTATTCTATTCTATTCTATTCTATTCTACACAACACTTACTTTATAATGAATTGGAAAATTCACTATAAACTGTTTAAAAATTTGCGAAATTTTCAAATAAAGAAATATCAAACGGCTTTTTATAACAGCAAATCTGAAACAATAAATGGCGGAATCGGCCGCAAGACGGGGTTAAATGACATCATCTTAATAATGTTTACCAGAATACGAAACAATTTCTATTATCTGTTTCATTTATGAATGACACTTAGACTTACACATAGCTGAGTGAAAAAGAGATAGGCAGCATCACGGCAGGTAATCTTCATACAAGTTATTAGAAACTCTAGTCTATGGTTCACATATCGTATGTGACAGCTTCTTTCACCTCCCTTCCCCTCCTTCACACCTCTTATGAATTTCTGTCACTGTCACAGTGTCGTTATTTTTATTATTACTAAGGGTATTAGTGTTCTGTGATTATTACAGTTTCAAAGTTGATCGAGTGTAGTTTTGCGTTGATTTATTTCCGTAACTAATCCTCTCAATTCCTGAAGCTGTAATACTACCTTGTCTTGCAACATGTATAACAAGTGTTGTGTTCCAACGTGTACTAGTAGACGAAAGGACGTCAGTTTTCATATGTTGCCAAAAAGTGAGATAGGACTCAAAAAATGGTTACAGTGTATTAATTGTGAAAGACTGCGAAGCTTGAGTTCCCAGAAACTTCGTAAACATTTTGTTTGTCACAAACATTTTGAGAAGAGGTTTCTCGCAATCACGCGCGAAAGAGTTCGTCTTTGCCCAAACGCCTATCCAACGTTGTTTACTGTTAGCGAGATGTCCACTGGTATTCCGCAAACGGTTGCAAGAATCGCCGTTGAAACTGGTAAGTACAAAGGTATTGTGATCAACTACTACATTAAAGTGATGTTGCATCACAAATATGGTTACACTCGCTGTCTGAAATAAAAGTAGCCTAAGTTACTCCTTATAACATCGACTATCTGCCAGTGAAAGTCCAATCCAAATCGGTTCACAGGTTTTTGTGTGATGCATGTTCAAACAGAAGTCGTGTTTTTTTTCCGACACGTTATATTTTAGCCAATTTACACAATATCTTTATTAATTATGGCTTATGTGTTATTCTGATGTATGAGCCATATAATTGCAAAGTTTAATTAAAATCCATTTAGTAGATTTTGCATGAAAGAGTACCAAACATCCATACATCCTCACAAACTTTCACATTAATAATATTAATAGGATATTCTGAATTCTTAGGTATTTAATGCCTCAAACTTATAATACAGATTAATTTACATGAGTGCTTGTGATGTATTATGTCAGTTTCTGATATATTTTTTATGTCAGGATATATGTATAAAGCTATTGCAATTTCGTCCAGGCTATTGCATTTGCTATTAATCTAGTAATTATTGGTGTTACAATTCTAATCTTAAGATATATTTAATATGTAATTTTAACTTTCTAAATGTTTTTTGCCGTGATGGTAATTGGATTTTGTGGCCTATAGACATCTACATTTATCCTCGATTAAGAATCAAAATGCAGATGCGTTGTCAGCCGTGAGGACTAAGATGGAATGCCTCTTTTCCAGTAAAAAGTGTCTCTTTTTCTCTACACTCACTGTGCAAAACATAGCAACATTGAGCTGCCATTTTTATACTGGTATTCTGTAAAAGCATGGTTCTACCCTGGTGGAACTGACCTATTCATGTTACAACCATAAGATAGCTGTAGTGTGGCTCTACCATGTTTTAATAAAATGTAAAAAAAATAACAAAATAGTTAAGTGTAAAGCTATGTAAGGCCTATGTTCAGCAGTGGACTTGTGAAATGCTGTGATGATGATGAAAGTGTAAAGCTATAATTAGTACCTGTTGTTTACAAACTAACTTACTTTGTCCTATAACTTCTCAAAGAATGTTGCCAATGTCAAATTTTTCAGCATTCATTTGAATGTTAAACAGATCCCCTGATTAAACTTTCTACCTGTTGCTATGTTTATTTATATACTAATGTTACTATTATCTGCTGTTTTTTTTTCAGAGAAAAGCAATAATGATCACAATTATTGTAAAAAAAGGCAGCATTTGGATCACACCTACTGTATTCCAGAAGTTGTAGAAAAACGCTTTAAGGCTTCAAATACTGACAACACTGGTAAGTTTCCCTTCAATTCTTTCTAATAATTTTATAAAGAGTTATTAAATATTCTCATGATATACAACAATCTATTAAATTGCTTATTTAGCATCCGTAATTTGTGTTTCTGTCTATGTTTCAATATTACTATTGATGCAAAGCTTCAATCAGACCCCCATATATCTAAATTAGCAGGCAAGCTTTGTTCTGCAGTATACGCTATAAGAAAGATTAGAAGTTTCACCAATATTAAGACAGCTAGATTAGTTTATTTTAGTTACTTATAGTGTGATTCTTATGGAATTTTGCTATGGGGGTAATGCGACTGACATTGAAACTATATTTGTTTTGCAAAGAGAGCTATATAGGTGATTTATTACTTAAATTGTAAAGAGTCCCTTAGAGTAAATTTTAAATAAATAAACATAATAACTTTGACATTGCAATATATTTATGAAAATGTAATTTATGTACATAAAAACATAAATAGCTTTGATAAGATTAAAGGTGTTCGTAATTTAAACACTAGGAACAAACATAAGCTTCTAATACCATTTACTAGATTCCACAGAATTAGTGATTCATTTATGGGGCAATGTATGTATATGCTTTTACAAAAAAATCCCAGAAAATGTACAAAAATTGTCAATAAACAAGTTTAAATGTTTTGTTAAAGAATAATTATACAGAAAGGGTTATTATAATATCAAAAAATTTATAAATGAAATTCATCCATAGGAATGAGGTGATCGCCACCATGCTTATTCTATTAAAGTCATTTAAAAATTGTACAAACAAAATTATTGTTAAGTGAAATATGTTTAAAAAAAGGCCCGCTGGGTTTCTTGCTGGTTCTTCCCAGGACAGAGGTATTTTCTGAACTAGTGGTAAATAAAAAAAAATTACTTTTAATAAGTATTACGGAATATTCTATATTGAATAAAAATTATTCTATTCTATTCCATTCTTTAATGAAAGAACAAATCTGTTATATTACAGAAACGGAATCAGATATAAATTCCTACCAACAACCTTCTACATCTACATATGAAAGTGGAACCATGGAAGTACCAACAGCAGGTAAGAAATTTAAATATTAGTAATCACTAGCATTTGCATACCTGACAGTAAATTTTTTATAAAAATAATAATACTAAATTTATATATTTCTCACACACTTGGTACATGTAGTAAGTTGTTTATGACTACATGCTTTTTCTTTTTATGTGTTAAAAAATCTTTCGCTATATGTAGATAGAATTAATGATGCCCCATAGTTATTGTTAGTAATCATGTGTTACATGATGTAAAAACATCAACTGTACACCCAATCTATGTTACAGTAGAAAATGCTACATTGAGTATTTGAAGGAGGTATTTAACTTGTTTTTCTTATTTCCTTTTTTTTTATTTTAGATAAAAATGCGCTTCATTCTCCAATAACAAGGAGAAAACAGCATATCATACAGACAAATAAGCTGTCACCGCATTGTGCTAAGCTTTACAGGCAATACAGAAAATCACAGAGGCAGCTTAATTTCAAAACACGAGCAAAACAGGCGGTGAAATTTTCAAAAGAACAGTCATTTGTAAAGCTCACAGAAAAATTGAATCCAATTGCTAAAAAGTTTTTATGGATGCAGATTAAAGAATGTACTAAAAAAGCCAGGGGCAGGCGATTCTCTGATGAAGAAAAATTGATAGCAATGGCGATAATGAAACAGAGCCCAAAGTGCTATAGATTTCTTCATAGAATATTTATCTTACCGTCAAAATATACCATAAACAAAATGATAGCTAAATTGAATATAGAAGCAGGAATCAATTTTCAAATATTTGATGCTATCAAAACAGAGGCACTGTATTTTTTTTAATAAATTTACTTTTTCCATAATCTATATATTATATAATATGTAGCTACAGTCTACTTGTGCTGCTGGTTGCATCAATGTTAGGCAGTTTGAAAGCATGTCTTCTTTTATTTTTTGTTTTAAGCATGCAGATTTCTTCTCGATGTTTTTCTGCACTGTTAAGTATGTGGTAAATCAGCATCGAAATTTGCAAGTAAATTTTAAATGTGGTAGAGCCACGCTGCAGCTGTATTATGGTTGTAGCACGAATGGGTTGAACCACGCTCTCACAGAATGTCAGCGTTAAATAGCGGCTTAATGTCGATGTGTATTGTGTGGTGAGTGTAGAAAACTGGAAACGAGGTATTCCATCTCGGTCCTCAGGGGTGGCAATGCATCTGCATTTTGATTCACAATCGAAGATAGATATTGACGTCTATGAACTGCAGAATATGCTTATCATCAGGTGGACTGTGTGCTCGTTTGTCACTCTTATACTATAAAAACCAAGTGGTTATCCACAGTGGCTACCACTACACTGTATGTTTGTATATTAAAGTAAATATTGACTAATTATATTGCTTACAGGTCAACACTTGGGATGAAAAGAAAAAATATTGTTCCATACTGTTTGATGAAGTGGCCTTAGAAGTGGCAGTGTCTTATGACAAACATAAAGATTTAATTAGTGGATTTGTTGAACTTAACAAAAAAACAAGTGATTTTGCTGACCATGCCCTTGTCTTTATGTTGCGGGGAGTTGTTCACAAGTGGCAACAACCCCTGGCCTTCTACTTCTGTAAAGGAGCAACTTCAGGAGTTGAATTAAAAGATATTATCAAGGACATGATAACAGCTGTAGGTAACACAGGACTTAGACCAGTGGCTCTAGTCTGTGATCAGGGCACAGCATTTCAATCTGCCCTGAAGAGCCTTCAAGAGGACACAAGGCGAGAGCAAATAATTTCAGGTGAAAGGATTGGTGAGTAGGCCTTGCCATTTTTATATGTAATTTCTTGCCAACAAAATTAAAATTGTGGAGTGGTGTTTGTAGCTACATTGTAATTATTTTTCAGATGACGTGATTGTAATTAATGGCCATACACTTAGTGTAATTCATGATCCACCTCATCTAATAAAAGGATTAAGAAATAATTTCCTAAATAAAGATATAAAATATAATGAAAAGATTTCAAAATGGAGTGACATTGTTGAAGTGTATAAAACAGACTGCAATCTTGCACAGATGAGGCTTTTACATAAATTAAATGATGAACATGTGATTCCAGAGAAAATTAAAAAGATGAAGGTAATTATTATTTTATTAAATATCTGTGTATTTGTAAGTTCTTCACATTGTGAAATAGTAAAAAATGTGCTATTTTTCTGTTAATAGTTTTTAGTTTGTTTTTTATTTATATTTCAGGTTAAAAATTGCACTAGAGTGTTTAGCAAGACAGTAGCTGCTGCGTTATCATATACTGCTCAGTTTTGTAAGTTCCTAAGCTAAATTTTGCATAATATTTTAAGCTTGAGTCAAAGCTAAACTTTAACTTTTTGAAATAAATTAAAATTGAATTGAACCTAATTTTTTTCAGCTCATTATGCAGATGGAAAGCAAGTAAGCTCGACTTTGAAAAATACAGCTGAAATTATATCATTCTTCGACGACCTCTTTGACTCAGTTAATGGAACTTCATATAATAAAATATCCAAAGGAAAAGCTTTAAGACAAGCAGTAACGGAAAAATCCTCACATCACAAATTTTGGAGGGAAGCAATCCTAAGACTGCAAAGCATAAAATTTATAGATGATCAAGGTAAAGAAACATCTGTGCCTTCATTAAAAAACTGGATAACAACTCTCAAAAGCTACCAGAGATTATGGCAATATCTAAGTGAAAAAAATATTAAATTTTTGCGCCCGCGGTATTTAAATTCTGATCCTATTGAAAACTTTTTTGGACAAATGCGTGTGTACAATTTTAGAAATACGAATCCAAATTGCCAAACATTCAAAAGTACCTTTAGATCACTGTTAATTACAAGGTTTATAAAGTTCCACTCAGATAGTTACAATTGTGAAGAAGATTCTGGTGAACAATTATTAAAATTAAAATCATTGTTTTGTACAAAAGAAAAATCTGATAATACTAAGCAAATCCATTTATTTGAGTCCTCTGAGCTATCGAGTTGGGTAGAAAGTGAAAGTTCAGCAAAGCAGGAAACAATTAATGTTCACTCACGTGCATATACCGCTGGGTGGGTCATAAGAAATATACTAAAAAATAATAATTGTCGGCAATGTGAAGCTGATTTAACAAATAGGGAATCCAATTATGATAAAAGTTCTATCAATAATTGGATTTACCTTAAAGAATTTAAAAGTATAAAAGAAAAGAAACTGATCTACCCTTCGGAACATGCCGTAAGATTTTTTGGGATAATAACACAAAAAGCAAACAAATACTTAGAAACCAAACCTCAACAGAGTTATATTATAAAAAATATAAAAACTCTCATCAAGTCTAAGTATTTGTTTGACTTTATAAACTGCGAACTGCATAAAGATGCTGTTTCTGAACACTTTTTAACATTAACTTTAAGATTGACAGTGTTTAATTGGCGCAATGTCATAAATAAAATATTGAAAGGTACCGATGTCCTAAGATTAGAAAATAAAGCTTTACCTCAAATGCAATTAAAAGCTCTTAATAAATTAAAAACAAAATTAAGAAATAAAAAAATATTTAAATAACACTGTTTTTTTCTTATACATTCCCCTTCTAACAAGCTCGAATCGAATCCATCTAATCATTTATGGATTCGTATTATTTAATTAGAATAATAGATAAAAATGAGTATTTTTATCTAGATCCTATAAAAGTAGGCTGTATCGTACCACGCTTTGATCGTGACTATAGCAAATTTAAAAAAAAAGCTGTCAATGACAGCTTGTCATACATGATATGTGAGCTTAGACTAGTTCACTTTTGTTCTATGGGAGTGCCCTGTCTGATACGTTAGTATCATATTAGTCTGTGGGCAGCATATTGACAGTGCAATGTCGAATATAACCATATTTGTATAACCAATAAAACATATCTAGACGCTCTGGGCAGCTCCTCTATTTTCTATGCTCAAAGCTTTCCATCTATACGCCAAGGTACTCTACCAACATAAAGATATGACATTTAGTTTTTGACAAACAATGATGACAATCTTGACGAATTACAATAGTGCTGTAAATGTCTATACTCGAATAATGTTATCGATATAACCTTTATCGAAATTTTATTTATAGATAATTTTACATAATAAAAGTTAGATCTCTATACTGGATTATTTATGAAAAATAATTTTTTTAACGTGAGGATTGAGTAAAAATGCCGATGAGGATAAGGAATCAATGTATTTTGCACACAGCAATTTGTAATTATATCTTTACAATCATTAGGTAAAAAATATGCATAAAGAAAATATAAAATAAAAAGTGCATTATTATACTAGTAATTAATCAAATAAAAAATAAAAGACGACTCCGTAGTGCAGTGGCTAAGCGTTTAGCTGCGGCACTGCAGGACCGACGACCGAGGCTTCGTTCCCGCACTGAACAAGTGTTGCTATGCTGTAAAATAAATAGTCTGCGTCTGGATGCTTGTTTTCAACATTAGTTTTTGTAAAGGGTAAAAATATTGGCGTTTTTAACACTAATTGGAATAAATTGCTTTTAAGTGTAACAAATACTTTGTACAAATCGCTAGGCTTCTTCACAGAGGTTGACGGCTCCGTGGCGCAGTGGCTTAGCAATCAGTTGTTGCGGTGGGGGCCGCGGGTTCGAATCCCGCACGGAACAAGTATTTGTATGGCCTACAAATAATTGTTCCGGGTCTGGATGTTTGTCCTTGTACAATTTATGTTTGTAAACTGCCTCCACGACATAGGAGAAAATCCTAGTGTGGGGGTAACGTTTTTTTAAAAAAAAAGAAGAAAAAGAAGAAAAGAAGAGGTACCTATGTACATACTACTCGCAGAGACCGTTTACTAATTGTTGCTTTTGAAATGAGCTCATTATAGCAAATGTTTGTAGATGAATCTATAATTTTTTTATTTATAACCAGATAATTTCAAATAATTTTGAGTTTAGTTACATAATCGAATTCTTACCAAAATGTAACTTTAGAGGAATATTATCTTTTGCTAAATCAAACCAAATTAACATACACATAATTGTGGAGGTTTTGATTAAGTCCACTGATAAAATAACAGTTCGTTTTAGTTGGGTTCAAATGCAATGTTTGCCACAAATATGTTTTAAAATGTGAATCTTATCAATTGATGCATGTGCCAGCTATTTCACTCATTGCTTGCGTCTGAAAAAATAATATAAATGAAATCACATTTTTATTGAAAAATAGAATGTTTCAATTGACAATGTAGTTTCTAAGTATAGTTCGTTTCGGATTGCCATCCCATTGAACTATCAGATTTAGGAAATAGTGTATTTATCAAAAACATTTAAGTAGTAATAGTAATAGACCGGACATCAGCAGCAAAATTGTCGTCTGTAACTTATGTCCTATAGGATATATCTCTGATTTTTGTCGTTTAGTCTTAGTGACATCGTCAAAAAGTCAAGACGCATTCGTTTCATATTTTTAAAAAATATTTTTAAAGAAAATATGCCCGGTTGTGCATTAAGATATTGTAAGTCACGATATGGAGCAAAAAATGAACGTGATTTCGGTTTATTATTGTAAATATAACATATATTTACGGAATAATCTCTAAATTTTATTATTTCTAGTAGATTGTTCTAGAACATTTATTGTTATTGTAATAAGCGCCCTCTGTCATCCAGTAAACGTCACTATTTAGTTACCAATTTTAAAGTTAGTGATTGACGACGTTTATTGAATGGGATTATCGATAAAAAAATATATAGGATGCTAATTTAATCCTTTACAATATTTAAGGAGGTAAACTAGTCAACTATACTGTACCCATACCAACAAAAATGAGTAGCTTATACCAACTATGCTAAGTAGCCTATTTTATGTGGAGCAAGTGTGGGAAATTTTTTTAGGCATACTGATGAGATTTTCCGTGTTGCTGTTGCAGTTGCTTATGAGCATGCTGAGGATACTTGCTGTGTTGATGTTTAGCAATACAGCAAGTCTTCTCTTTTACATACCAGGCTTCATTGTCTGGTGGTTTTACACCGGGTTTCATTGTCTGGTGGTTTTACACCGGGTTTCATTGTCTGGTGGTTTTCAAGGACAAAGTCATTATAGATCCTCGCTTACAGTGATAGGAGAGGACTATAGGTTTCTTACATTAAAAACAATTTGTACTGTTAAAGATATTAGATGCAAGAAGTTTTAGATTAAGCCTGAGTTAGAAAATAAGGTAAAACATAAAATAACAATTTTATTGATGTGGGTAGTATCTTTAAGTACTGCAGCTGATGAAACGTAAAAAATCGTGAAACAGCTTTAAGTTCAGTGTTTTCCTAAAATATTGTAGATTTGAAGTGTATTTTTGTAATAGAAACGAATTTAAAAACATAGAGGCGCTCTCTTATGATCAATCATATTATGCTATTATGCTATTATACATATTATGCTATTATTATAGCAGCTAATGGACCGAGTGACGCCATCCAAGATGCCACCAAGGTGGCAACCAAAGTGACTGCTGTTTGAATTGATTCTTAGTTATTGGAAATTAAATATTTTATTTCATGACACTAAAGGGTCGTAAAAAGTTAATATGATTTTTTTTCGTGTGATGGAAGTCATGATAAATAGATTTATATAATAAAACAATCGTGTATATTCCATATTATTATATCAAAAAGCATTTCAAACTTAGTGATCTTCAACAACATTATCGATACTTTGATATCGAAACGGTAACATTCCTAAATCGACGTTATATTTATTAGCGTCACCTATTGGGAAATAGCTAAAATGTGGTCTTAATAAATGCTTAGCGTTGTTTTGTTATCTTTAGCTAGAGGGTGCCACACGCGCACCAGCTCAAAGTTTTTGTATATAAATGTTCCCAATGCCCGCTCTATAGTATACCTATATATTTAAATCTCTTTGGTGTTTGTGTTTGTGCACATAATCGTACACTATAAAAACCTGTCCTACGTAGACTAAAAATGTACTGACGTTAAATATAATATTACAATTAAAGTTATATTTACCACATAACTTTCATCATCTTAGGGAAATATTGCTATCAATAGCCTATTCTTGTTATAATTTTTTCCGCTTCATGCACTATTTAATTGGAAAGTTTTATAATGCATATTTAATTTTTTAACAATTCTGTAAATGAACAACGGTTCCTATAGCAAAATTAAAAGCAATCTTAGTAAATAAAATATATACAAATGTTATTGTTTGATTTGACTTTTGAACCTATTTGATTTGACAATGTCGTTAATAGACATATTGCGAAAAGCAGAAAGAAGAGATAACCGCCATTAAAATTTGACCCCTGTACATGGAGTATAGAGTTTATTTTTCATGACTGGAGTACTTAGTAAACAAAACCCCAACTATTTCATCATCATCATCATCATTACAGCCTTTCATAAGTCCACTGCTGAACATAGGCCTCCCCCAAGGAATGCCACAAAGCACGGTCCTGAGCCACCTACATCCATCGACTTCCTGCAAGTCTTACCAGGTCGTCACTCCATCTAGTGGGGGGTCGCCCTACACTTCGCCTACTGGTACGAGGCTGCCACTCGAGAACCTTTCTTCCCCATCGGTTGTCGGTTCTTCGAGCTATATGGCCGGCCCATTGCCACTTCAGCTTAATAATCCATTGGGCTATGTCGGTCATTCTGGTTCTACTGCGGATATCCTCATTTCTAAGTTTATCACGCAGAGAAACTCCGAGCATAGCTGTCTCCATAGTTCGCTGAGCGACCTTGAGCTTCCTCATACGGCCAGCAGTGAAGGACCACGTCTCAGATCCGTAAGTCATCACTGGCAATACGCACTGGTTGTACAATTTCGTTTTCAGGTTTTGAGGTATGTCTAACGAGAAGATGTGTCGTAGTTTCCCGAACGCTGCCCAGCCGAGTTGAATCCGTCGATTGACCTCTCGGTCGAAGTTGGACTTCCTAGTCGGACTATTTGTCCCAGTTAAACATACTCGACAACAACTTCGAGCTTAGTGCTCCCTCTCCTTATCCTTCAACTATTTACGTAGCCTAAAATAATTAAGTTAATACAACCAAAAAACTGCTGTGAGAAAACGTGATTTTATTAGTGTGACTTTTTAAAAATAATTATTAGTGATTATATTATGGTGATAAATCGTTGAATATCTGTTTAACCCGCTTGTTGATTTTTTTCATTTACACTGAAAAATGCCAAACTACTACCCAACAACTTGTTAATAATAAAAAATGTTTAACTATAACTATTGTTATCAGCGATTGTTACATCATTTCTATTATAAATCGTTATAAGTAATAATTGTATTATTTATCATTTTTGTTTTATATTATTATTTTTAATTATCAAAATATAAAATAGATTAAGTCGTTGTATTGTCATAATAATTATCATAGGTTATTTTCTCAGTTTATGGCTTAACTTTCTATTGACGTCCGTCGAGTTGGATGTTGATACTTATTTTTACAGAAAAGTTACACTATTATAAACATATTACAAAGTTTCAATATGCGGAAACGC